AAATTCAGAGTGGGTAGCTTCCAAATTCAAGTGTGGAGAGACGTCAGTAACTGTCCAGTGAGTTGTTCTGATCAACGATGTTGACGAGATGTATGCGCAAACTTTTCTATGGATTGCAGATGATGAAGACTGGATGGTAATTATTATATGAATGATTATTTATGCAGCAAGTATATATATATTACCTATGAATATACCCTAAACTAGTGGAGACTTTGTTATCTAGTATGCAATTTATGAACCGTTGTGTTTTTATTGAAATGTGTTTGCCATAAGTGATTGTGAACCTATATTTTGTTGGCACTCTCTGGTTTGTGGACCTCTGTATTATGTCAAGTTATGCAAGTGTGAAAGATTAAAAATTCTCATGTGTTTGTAAAGAACACAAAAATATTATTAGTATTGCAGCAGGTTTGATGTAAGGTGCAGTGATCGGATGTTAACTCTCAGGGCTTACATTTTAGAAATATGTCACTGGTGTAGAGTAAGTAAAGCACTAATCCCAGTTTATGACATATGATTTCTCTGTACGTTGATTATAGTGAAGAGGAGTAATAATATGCGGTCGGTACGTGAAACTGTTATCCTAATGTGTGTAGTTGGAGCAGACTTCGTCACATTGTTTGCTAAGAAATTTTGATTGTGAATATGCTAGTTACCACGGGAATGACAATATAAATTTGATTTCTGCCCATTAGATTGAAGTGTTATTGAATTATTCACTTTTTTTCAGGGCTGGAAGAGATTTCCAATTTGGTTCGCATGCACAGTTGTGTCTTGGGGCAGTCAGCACCATGTTTATCAACCCATATGGTGAGCTGAACTCTGGTGTAATTGAATGCAGTAAAACATTATTTGGAATGGATGATTGTGTGTGTGATTGAGTCACAGTATTTGTTTACAAAGGTTAATTTGAAGTCTGTATGTTTTTTTTCTGGATTGTTGCATTTGCTCTGTGATCTTACAAAACCTACAAAACTTTTATTGCAGTATATGTGATGTTATGTCTCTTTCGATGCTGTATAACGGTTTTGTTAAATAACATGAGAGCCAGTCAGTATTTCATCCAGTTATCTTGCTACCAGAAGGAAGAACATGCGCTTGGTTTTTTTAATATAAAATAAAATTAAAAGATGTGACAAAGATACATCAGTATTTCATCCAGTTATCTTGCTACCGGAAGAAAGAACATGCGCTTGGTTTTTTAATATAAAATAAAATTTAAAGATGTGACAAGGCACAAAATTAGTTCAATTACCGTGATAAAGTGAAAGAATATCGGTTCACTTTATTGGAGCACAGTCATAATAGTAAGTGAACCAGCAATCATATACGCTGATCACTGAAAATGCATTTCAGGGATTAAAGAACAAGACCAATGTACATAAAAGTAAACTGCAGAAAATTAAGATAAGGATTGTCTGTTAAAGAGTATATAAGTAAGTACATGCCTTTCACAGAGTTAAGGGTATGAAAATTACGCAAGTGAATACGGTAGTACTGAAGATATCAAACAATTTATGGTAGATGCTATGAAATTTAATCTTGTAGATTATTCTTTGAAGCCATATTTTGTATTGAGAAAACTTATGCATGAGTTGGATGTGTAAACTGCTTCACCTAAATATCATAGTCATTAATCTGCATGATTTGTTAATACTTGTATTATACAGAGTGCCCCATGCCACACTTCAGGTGATTATGAGTCATCTTATTTTGAACGAAGTATGTTTACCGACACGGGTTAAAATCTCAACTGATACGTTGTTCTTAGATGAATGTAAATGGAAGAAACTCAAAGAAACTGCAGATATTTGAAGTCATTTCAATATATGAAATGAATCAGCTACATAGGAATGGCATTATACTCATGTTTAATGAACATTGTGTTAATGTACGTTCTTAAGTGACTTGCTGTTTGAAATGATCTCCTGCATCGGCTATGCACAAGTATGCACTAGTAAAGTTATTTTAAAATTACATGTGCAGCTTCTCATATACTTTCATGATTGTACCATATGAGGGTAGCATCATCCAGGTGCAGTGTAAGAGTTCATCTCGTGTCTGCAGTTTCTGGTGAGCAGGGTGGCCAGGTATTCAAACCTCTGCGACCAATCTTATGACCTCCATAGTACCAATTCAAGTACTGTATGACTTGTAAATCAAGACGAGGCGGAGTGTCATCATATTGCAGTGACTTCTTTAATTTGGCATAGACAGAGACGTCTCCCAAAATAAGTGGTAGCTCACCCTGTAGGAAATCCAAACATTCTCCTTCAGTAACCTGTTGTGTCCTAATACCAAACTGACTTGCGGGTGAACTGAAAGGACAAATTCCTAACTCAGATGCCCTAGTTGTGTTATTTCTGTATATAATTGTAGTTATTTTACCATGCTTTGTCTGTTAAAGGCAGGCACAGGGTGTTCCTAATTATATATTTCGTAAGTTTGTGGGGACATGTGAGTTTGAGAGTATATACAGAGTGTACGAGAAAGAGTGCACACATTTTAAAGATTTTTATTGGGAAAATAAAAATCGGTAGGAGAATACAGTTCTCACCACATAAAACAGCAACTCGGAACGTTTTCCCCCTACCTTTCTCCATTTCACTGCACTTCGACCTGAGCTCCCTCCGGTACTCGCACAATGTCCATCCGGTATTCAGATGCCCGGAAAGTGTTGCCACACGTTTGAGGCGTGATTCCTTCCACAGAATGGACGACGCGGTTTTTAAAATCTTGAAAACAAGTGACTCCTGTGCGGTGCACCTGGTCCTTTGTGTATCCCCAAAGAAAGAAATCCGTGGGGGTTAAATCCGGCGATCTTGCAGGCCATGCAACGGGCCCTTTCATGTGCGATCGATAGAACAAGTATCGTACGTGAAACTTCGACAGTTTCGCTGTCACGTGGTGAAAACCGCACACTTTCGGCTCTGTTCATTTTCTCAATAGCAATATTCGAAATGTGTGCACTCTCTCTCGCACACCCTGTATATTTATGCATGCATGTGTATGTATTTTCGTGCACGTGAGTTTGTGTTCATGTGTATGAAGAATGAATGAGTGCGTGCGCGCATGTGCACACACACATTTGCTTGTAATTAATTTCAATTTTCTTCAATACTGTGCGACAGTTCAGTATGGTAAAGGTTACATGAATGAGGTGAAAGTTTATAAATGGATAGAAGGACTTAGATGTGGCTGGATGGGTGTTCGATGATGTACATTCTGGGTTTCAAATGATTGTGACATGTTTCGAGGTTCAGGAGCTTGTCAATAAGCATATCTGGGACAGCCAAAGAATTGGCATTGATGAAATAAACATCAGCGTTGGAAAGAAAAGAGTGTAAGAATGACTCAAGGCCGAATTTAAAACACTTCTTGCTAACGGAATCATGAAACTTATGTATCATTGGAAAAATGTATTGAGAAATAGGGAAATTCTGCAGAGAAATAAGATGTATGTAATTACATACTGTGTGATTATTTTTATCAAAATGCTTAATAAAATTGCCTTGAATTTTTAATTTATTTTTTTGTTTGCATATTTCTACTTTATGAAGATGTTTCCTGAATGCAAAGTACTTTTAAAGCACGTAACATTCATATACCCTTTCATCCACTTACCAACCCACAAGCTGCTGTTTCGATGCTCTGATTTACAGAGACAGTCCACAGAAACCTGTCGCTATTTAGGCGTATGCCCTATTATTAATTTATTTAAGGCACATCTGGTAAATACACGACGTAATGTGTCAAGTCATAAGACGCTAAACTCGGTTTAGAAATATTTGTGCTGTGGACGTACCGTCTGTAACTGACTTGTACGTGGCAGTGAATGACATTGAACCAGCTTGTAACACTTCGACGCTGTTCTGTGATTTCTTAGTTGTAGGCATCCGTGGCTATGCAATATTTACACGTGAAATACGTTTAATCATATTTTTGAATCAGTTGCTTTGTTGTTATTATTTTATTTTTGAAGTTTTTGAAACTATAACTTCCTTCCAGTAATGTATCAGGTTTATAATTGCACCAAGAGAAAGGATGGATGTTTCTTAAAAACACAAACCCAACCCTTCACTTGATGGCGTTGAAAAAGCTTAAAAACTAAAAATTAACCTGATTGGTGTATCCACGTTATTTACCGTAGGTTTGAAGAAGATTTGTTAGGCTTATGATAACTGTATACTATATGGAAACTTCCAAATTTCATATACAGGTAGTCCTCGATTTGCGTCGATTCAGAATAAAGCCAATTTTGAAACCAGCGAGTCAAAAAATTAAAAAAAAATATTTTACTATTATTTATAACGTTTTACAATGTATCTCGTACTGATTCTTATACTAAATCGTAATTCTTACATCGCTGATTTTGAATAAAAATTATAAATACAGTCATCTCTGTAATTACGTAAGTTTCGTTAACGCGAATTCGCTCCAATGATATCGATGAATCGATAAAAGTTGTTTGTGAAATGCAAACTTCTCCATATGCGAGTTTACTCTTATGCAATTTCATTCCTGGCGCTTTAAACTTTCAAAGGACTAATTTAATCTCTGCGGAGGTACCGGGGTTATTTTTACTACGCGATTTTCTATAGGTCGGCGTCTTACATGAATGCGACTATCGCATAACAGCAGAGATGACTGTACACATCAATCACGTGAAAGAATCTATGTCAATCGCGGGGACCAACGAATTTCCGATTGTGTGTAAAATATATTTTTTAAATTCCCTTTATTTTATTTTCGTTATTTCAGAGCTTTAAATGTAATGCCATTACTCGTCAATGTTTGGGTGCTGGGAACGCATTGATTTACATTATAAAAGTTTCAATTTACGCCGATTCCGTTTACGCCGGTTCGTTCAGGAACGCATCCCCGGCGTAAATCGAGGGCTACCTGTATTAAGAACAGCTTAACAGCACGACGACTGTTACCATATCTGAATTCGGACTTTATCAGACGTATAAAAATTATTGTAACCCGTCTAAATCCCTCTATGTATCTCCTAAATCTTTTATGTTCTGCTATTTGCGTAATCTAAACATGTAAATCATGATGATGCTGAAGACGGGGGTCTTCTAGGCTGTTGCGTCTCTGGCAGAAGTTTGAAGACGTTTCAGAGATGCTTGATGCTTCAGGATTATGATGCTGCTCTGTAAGTGCAGTTGTACTCTCTCATTTATTCCGTTTTGCGTCCCATATATGAGGAATGTGGAATATCGGGACTAGTATTTGATTTATTAACCAGGATATCCGCATTGATGATCCCCAGTAATTTCGTCTGCAAATGGATTTAACCTTGGGAGAAGAATGCTGGATAAGTTTCTGTTCATAAGAGTGACGTCTCTCAATAATTATTATTATTATTATTATTATTAGTGTTCTGTCTGACGACAGGTCCATATGAACAGGATCCTTCCATCCTTTTCTCGGACTGAGACCTGTTCATATACGTTCTTGGCAGATGATCCAGAAGTGGTTTGCCATTGCCTTCTTCTGTGTGTGAATGGAGTAATTGTTGGGATGCCACGGAGGAAAACTCCGTGATACCTAGACCAGGTCTTGCCCAACACAAGTTATAAATCTGAGCACCACCGGGAATTGAACCCGGGACCCCAGGATTACAAGGCTAGTGTTCTGACCACTAGACGACCGTGGCGGTATTCTCAATAATTACTGCATTTAAATTGTTCTTTCACCCTTGTAAAGTGGGAAATTTCTTCTGCCTCGTGTTAAAATTAAAGTTTTACGAATGGAATATGTTTATGTCGTGTCCTACGCCATGCCCCGCTTCGGAAAATCAA